AGGTTATGTCATAAAACAAAATAAACCAGTTATATCAACCAGGCTAAAAATAGAACCTGACAAACCGGTCAAACCAGTATACTTAATTAAATCCACTGCATTTTATTCATGAGATGAGGACAATAGCCTATGACGTCATCGGCGTTTATGTATTCCTGCTCACGCTAATGAGATTCCTGCTCAAAAAAGAGGTTAATTTCATCCCTCGACTACTGCTATCGCATGCGAGGCACTGAAGTTATGTCGCCTGAAAATTATAGCTATGCCGCCGGAATCTTTATTAGCAGTAATGCACAGAGAAATGAAGGTGAATAAATTAGTTTAATATTATTTCTTTAAGCCATGCTGAGACGAACGAAGGTAATTAATTCGGAGAAACAAAAACTGCCTAGAATCTTCTATAGGTTGAGGAAGTCTAAACATTTCTAGATGACCGTTCCATGCATGTACAATCAGTTCGAAGCTTATCTAATAAATTCTTAACGATTTTCTGAAGGTTAATTTTTTCCATTTCACTTCCCAGGTTAAGTATTTTTCGTAGAGAAAGGAATCCTAAAATTTTCGGAACCGAAAATACGATAAAATTCTCACTTTCCTAAAACTTTCAATTGGAAGCTAAATTTTTCGGGAAAATAATACTGAAGCCCTTCTAATTTCGAAAAGACTGAAGTTGTCTTTGCTTGCGTGGACCTATTATTTTCAGAGAGAGAATTGGCCAACGACAACACGTCAGGAACTTTTGGCTTCGAAAAGCTATAATGAAGAAAAGATGCGATTTCTGTCATCAAACTTGCGCCGTAGATTTGATTTGATTTTGTAGACTATTTCTTTAGAAATTAGTTTCTGTGTAAAAATTTGGTTGTAAATATAAAAGCGACTGTTTTTTATGTCTGATCTTAAATTCCGCTTTGTTTTAATTTAGTCCTCAAGGTACTACCAAGTTTCAGGAGGGTAACAAATCCACTCGTGCATCAACGTAAAATATGCATTTAAAAGACGCAGTAAACTAGCGCGACATAATAAAAAATTATTTTCGCGCCGCTTAAATAATAGTCTGCTAAACAGCCGTTTTCAGTGGAAGGAGCGTTGCGTGACAAAACTAAAACGGCTGTGTAGCAGACTACAAAAAAAGACACTTAAATAATTGTAGGCCGTAATACTTCTGATGACGCTAAATCGGTCGCCGTAACTTCATAGCGCGAATGTTTGTTTAGATGGTTCTAAAACAGACGGCAACCACAAGAAAGACAACAGGATGATTACGGAATTTGGACAAAAAGACTGAAGCATACGCGATGTAATATTTCAAGAAGAACAAATTTACATACGTTACTTTAATACCGGTTTCGCTTTTTGTGTTATTGCCGGCCAGATCAATTAAGCAACATTGAAACCGTTTTGAAGAAAGTGACTCAAGTCCGAAAGATCACTGTTTCTGAGAAAATTGCAAATGTGTTTTAAATTAAGGAAAGTTAAGATAACCTTTGCACAGCTTCGTCAGTAAACATTTCTGGAAAGAACTTTGATTTTGCAATGTTAATAAAGTTCTACCCATAAATCCAGTAGGTCCCACCGTTCACTGTTTATACTTTTCAAGCGACAAACTTTTTCTTTCTCGATAGTTACCAAAAAAGGGTGCCGTTCATAATCATTTCCGGTTCCTTTTTGTAGAGGAAATTCATTTAGCTTATAGATAACACGCCTTGCGTGCTTTTGCGCACACTGAAAGCGAGTTGTGCTTTTTCGTACGGAGCTTTTGTTTGAAAACTTTAACACGCCCTTTTGTTCGACTTGCTCACGCTTAATTGTCTCAAGCGTGTCCTCTGAAACAAAAGAAATCGCTAATGAGGCAAGATTGCAAGCGTGCTAAAGCGTGTTAAAATAAATTCTTTTGTTTTAAAGTGAAAGCGTGTCGTGCGCGTGCTTTCACCTTTAGCATTAAAATTCTGTGGAGGGTCACATATGCACTCCCCATGGAGCACATCACCAGTCAGAAATATCCCACGATCCACAAGGTCTTTAAAAAAGTTGATCCACCATGTTAGACGACTACGACGAAGATGGGCCCACCAGGCCTCTATTCTTTGATTTCCAGTAGAAGGACCATAACGGTGTTCGTTTTCACCAGCTAACTCATCATCACAGTCAGCTCTTAAAAAACACTGTGTACCTGCAATTACTACATTCTCTGTTCCACAGTCTGTTCGGAGTAATGAAGGACATCCACCGACCTCCACGACGCAATCTAAAAAAAACTTTGCAGTTATTTCTGGATCATTATTGGTTCTATCTACCTTAAGCCACATTACCATGCGACTATAGCCATCAACAGCCCCATGCATGGGAAATCCGAAAGGTTTCAGTTTATCATAACCATCAACATGCCAACAATAATTTGGTCCAGGAGACTCATACTTCCTTCTTTTTAGCCTGTGGCGCTTCCTCTCTTCCACTCCAGCTGGGTCTATCGCTCTGATCAGGGATTCTACCTCTTGCCTAGGGACAAACAGCCCATACTTTATACGAAGCATATGCCAAACTCCTCTGTAACCACAAATGCCTCCTGGGCCATCCATCTCGTCTCGGATTAATTTCTCAACGGCAGGCAAATTTATATCCACTTTATTCCTTTTAAGGTTGTATTCACATAACCTTCTTTTCAATGTTGACATAGACATTGGCATGTCATGGTACTTGTCAAGGAAGAGTAGAATAACCCTGTAACTGAACCCACTAAAAAAGTAAGCCTCTATTGCTTCTTTCTCGGTCACGTTTTCAGCTGATAATAATAGCCTAACATAAGGTATAGCAGTGTCTAGTTTGGTTCCACACTGAAAGCAGTACAAATATTCATCTAAAACTTGTTGGCCGCAGTTTTGGCAGAACATTTTTCACGTTAACACCTGGTTAAAACAATGAAAATACAGCCCGTTCAGATAGTCGCCATATTGGATGCGAAAGACCCTGGACCCGAGTTCGTCACTCTTTTTTCCAGGCCATCTCGTTCATAATAATGTAGTGCCCAGTCTTTTGAAATTGTGTTTTGGGAAATTGATTTGTGTTTTGGAAAACATATTTGTGTTTTGGGAAACCGTTTTGTGCTTTGGGAAACTGACTTGTGTTTTGGGAAATTGATTTGTGTTTTGGGAAACTGTTACGTGTTGTGGGAAATTGATTTGTGTTTGAGCCTTTTGGGCCACCGCAGCTTTCAATGAAAAGCCTTTATAATGTGTGCTATTGTTTCCGTGAGCCAATTAAAACTTTCATTTTCTAACACCTCTCAAATGACTGTCAAATTGCTTGTCCTGCACTTGTTTCCGGTCCCTCAAACAGGAAGCCATAATAATAAAAATCAAATATGTGATGGATAAAGTCAATATAATACTTCCATGAAAGATCCGAATCAATCATTATTCCCCAGTTTTTAGCAAAGTCCTTCATCTCTAATTTTTACTCAAGTATTTGAAGTTGGATTGAAGATCTTGATCTGATCTTTATTATTTCTGGCATATTATATGTATTATTTAGTTGGTACATTGGTACACGTTTAAAAAGCTACAATCTAGGACAAAAATGTCTAGAATAATGGCTGTTGCCATGTCTAGTTTCGAAATAAGACTTTTTAAAATACTGGCAAAAGAAAATAATACACAAAGTTGAACTCTGGCTGGATCATTTCTCCCCCTGACTGGACAACATTGATCATCAGACATGGTGCGGTGGGGGAAGGGTCCATGGCGATAACAAATCTGCAAAATGGGTGTCCTGTGGGTGGGTAAAACTGTTTTTCCAAGGTTGTAAAGTGGTCAATATCTGGAATACAGTAAAACTCCACGACTAAGATCCTGTATTATAAGAACCTGTTAGGCTAAAGTTTGCCAGTTAGGCCTCCTCTACAAAAGAACCTGTTTAGCCAAAAATTTGGAACAGGTTTTTATTTTCTAAAATCTATGAAAAAAATTCTGTACACTTGGGCAGTTATTAGATAAGTCAGCATTCAGAATCCTTTTTGGAGACATAAGTGCCTTATCACTCCAACTGCAATTTAAACACCAGTGCGGTCATTATGCTCAATGCTTTAGTTTTTCTTTCTTGGTTATTTTTACCTATCTTCAAATTTGGTATGCAGTTTTATATGAGGAATAAGCTGAACCACTAAATGCTCTTAGCTATATTGTATTTCTTCAGAAAATAAGAACCTAAACATCTTAAATGTGTACTAACTACCAATTACATAAGAACTTGTTTAGGCTAACTTGGAAAAATCCAGGTCCTTTGTCGTGGGGTTTTACTGTAATGTTTTTAAAGCCTTAACTTAAACCTGCTATATAAAAGGCTTGAAAACTGACTGAAATGAACTTTTTTTTTCTAAGGTACCAGGGAAGCAAGGGAAAAATTTACAGACATGGTAAAACTTTCAGAAGGACCTTTGTGGCCTGTCCAAGGTGCTGTTGACGAGATTGTGAAAGTGTTCTTTCCAGGTATTTTTCAGTAAACTGTTAGTAGATCGTCCCTACCTCTTCCCAAAGTAATGACATACACTGTTTAGTTATATATAATTTTTTTGATGCATACTAGGCTAGTGTTAAATTTTCAAAGCTGTACATTGTTTCATATGGACCTTCTTGACTGTTGCCTTGCTTGAGGTTGTTTCTTTGTTTTTGCAGGCTGGATCAGAAACTATGTAACTCATAGTTTAACCTTTTTCTCTATTTATTATCAAACATCAGTCGCAGCTTTGTGATTGTCAACACCCATCCAATATACAATCTAATAAATTATTGTACATCGAAAGCTGAAACTAGACATGGTTAGGAAACATCTACATCTACACTTTTTTAAGTAGGTAAAAATCGCGACATATCACACCAATTGTTTAAAAAACGAAATTATGCAATAATATAAAATCTGAATAAAACTAATACAATGGAATATTAAAAATTATTAACTAACTTAGGTTTAAAACTATCTACGGGCGTTGTTTTGTATGACTATCATTCTTTGCATTGTTTTAAATACTACGACCTCCTTCGTTTGCATTGTGTCGTAAAGTTTAGTTACAAAAGCCCTTATTTTCTGTAAAGAAAGCTGTAACATGTTTTGATAATATCATACGCAGGGTTCTATCCAGGGTATTTCCGGGGGAGCATGCCCCCCACCCCATAGGAAGAAAACTGTACAAAAACTTAAAAGAAAATAGATAACGTAATGAATCGATTTAAGGGTTAAGTACCGAGTGCTAAACAAGAGATAATATTCCATGTAATATTCTAAGAATTACTCAAATCATGAGGACCCTCTCCTTGAGTATCAAATGTGCAGTTCGTCACAATGAACAGTATTCCTTTATCACCACACATATTAAGTAAATAGTCCGCTGTTTTGTAATCAGTGTCTAGAAAGTCTGATCATTTTGGGCTCTGGGCCCCGTGTGCGTATGTTATTTTTCCTGTTATTGAGAGATACGTGACTGCAAAGGGAAATGACAGAAAAATAACACACCCGTATTAATGTTAAACAACTTGTGTTGCACCGCAGCTAACTGCGATATTATGTTTTGTTTTGAAATAAACCGTCCCAGTTGACTTGAGTTTATTGAACGTATGTAGCTTGCATAGCTGGATTTTTTGTTGGGAAGGGGTGATGGAGGGGCGTGCGTGCGAGAATGGGACTCAGTCGCCTGACAAAACCGCGAAAGTCTGTAAAAAAAATCAAGTGAAAACGAAGGGTATATGTTACTGTCATTTTTTACATTTTCCATTCATTCACAATTTTCACATTGACCATAATGCATCTTGTTTACCCCCCGCCCCCTAAATTTGTATAACCATTGTTTCCAATTTCTCCTGGGTATTACAGTCGTCCCAAGAGAAATCGAAGAGAATGGTTATGCAAATTTTGGGGGTTAAACAAGGTGCATTATGACCTAGGTGAAAATGGTGAATTCTACAAATAGATCTGCGCCATCGTGACTTAAGAAGTGTCATTTCTTGCAGGTACTTAGAGTAAACCCTCTTAAGGTCTCCTCATGCTAACAGCATTTGTGCGTAAGATTGTATCGTGGTTAACAAGGTTTGATTGTGTCTTTGTCATTTTTTATTTAGTTGGGCCCGGATGTCAAGTGGTACCTAAAGGGTTTGAATCAAACCTCCCAGAAGAAGCAAAACAAGTGATACGAAAAATACGAGAACAAACCACGAACGGCCTTCTTGTAGCTTCCTCCTCAATACTGTCTGCTGTCCAAAAAGAAGGGAAACGTAAAGAAGATGGGGTTATATGTGACTTACTCCTCTTAAGTGAGTCGCTTGGACGGCTCCACCTTATCTCCCTTGTCAGCAGTGGATCACAAGATCAGTTCTTCCCGCATGCCCGTGCTACAGCCAAAGCTGTGAAGAAAGCCTTAGTGAGGAACGGCGGTTGCTATGAAAAGTTTTACATCACCTGCCAGGTGGTGCTTTGCAACAGAGTAGGAACTGAGCCACTTGACATATCGTCTCCAGACAGTCGATATCCTAACGAGTATCATCTACGTTCATCGCCCCAAGAGTTAGTGAAGATCAACAAAATCCTGCAGTCACTAGTAATAGTTTTGGCGCAGTTTCCTTCTTTTCTTTCCAACAAGCAGGGGTTAAAATTTCTTAACTTGCTGACAAAGGAACAGTTTGAACTGCTGTGCATAATGATCGACGTCGAGGAAAACAGAGAGCTATGGATTAAGGGTGTTGCTGGCACTGGAAAAACCGTGGTGGCTGTAGAGTTTATTAGAAGGCTCCTCCTCCGTTACCCCAACCTTAAACCTGAAAACATACTCTACGTTTGTGAGAGACCTGCAATGCTTCCCCAAATAAGGTATGTTTCTTTCAAATTCCAGGGTGAAGGGTTGGATCACGTAGCCTCTTTACACCTCGCATCCCCTTGCAGGGATGGAAGGGAATACGATGACAACTGTCCTTCTGTTAATTAACATGAGGTCTGAGTTAACATGGAAATTTATCTCTAGCCGGTTTCTTAAGCAGTTTGGTAACTTTTTTTATAGCTGCTATTACGGACCTCGGTGTTTACAGTCCTTTCTCTTTCTCGATATGTATTGTGAGTAGACCACGGTAACCAGTTACTACACTTGGCGTTTATCTCGTTTATTCCACAGTCAGCTCGCGCGTTTAATTGCTAATAAATCATGAACCTTAATTCCCCCAATGAAACCACTCCAACTGCTCGGCAATTGAACTTAATCGAACGTTCTATGCCATCATTCGTATTACACTAGTAAGTCTCTTGTAGCACGTACAAACAACGAAGAATACATTGTGCGTGAAACCAACAAAAGAACATATTTTTGAAAAATAACTTAATAAATATGAGGCGCACTCTGATTGGCCCGAGAGGTGTGTTTGCACGAGAGTATGTAAACATAGTTGGGGTGTCCGTAAAACGAGGAACGCGGGATACTTGGGGTTTGTGGATTTGATGTCGTATGGTGGATGGGAAAATGGGGAGAGAAAAATGCGGATGGAAAAACGTTCAGTTATGAAAATTGCGAATAGAAACAAACGAATTAAAAATAAAAAAGTGAAATCTTTGGTTTGCAGAACTAAGGCAAGTAATCGGCAGGCGAGCTGCACGTTGGAAAGCAGCTGAAGGAAATTTCAGTTTCGTTTATTCGCAAGAGAGAATGAGC